TTATAATCTTGGAAAGGCTGTAGCAAATTACATACATATCGACGGGATGAAACTTTTTTTTCTCTAATTAACCGGCAAATACTTATTCCCCAATTTGGTGCACTTTTTTTGAATCGAAAAAAGTTTAGAAAAGAACTCTGAACGGAACGGCGTTAGTTCCCATTCGAAACTTGCTGCAGAAAACACAGCGTAGGGCAGACACCATCATATTCTTCTCAACACTTCCCGAAGAAAATGAGACAGACAATGTAGTCAAAGATCACCGGTAGCCGATAACGACAAAGTGAAACAGGTGCGTCCCAGTAAATAAAGTTAAAGGCACAGTTCACGATAAAAATGGTTTCGGAGATTCCTCCATATGATGATTTTGGGGCCCCCGCGTATACCATATCTGGTACTATAGGTAGGAAAACGGCCTAGTTAGGTAGTTATAAAGGCTCAAAACTCATCCGAATATCCTCGGATGAGTTTCACCGGCATTTTAGAGGCTGCACCGATCACAAGGGAACCCATGTAGGATATTCGAACAACTTTTCATGACCCATAGCGACAGTGAGAGAAAGTTCTGTACAGATCTGGCTTGTTGTAGTCAGTTCATTGCGCAATCGCAACAACTGAAATCTCGTCCGAATACCCCTTCCATGTTATTTCCGTCATGGCAATCTAGTCCAACCTCTATTTTCCTTACTTTTGAGGGGACATAATTTCTCGAAATCGGCGAATTCTCTAGCTCTCTACACTACCGATGAACCCAATATATACTTCCGCTATTCGAATATAAACGGATATTTCAAAATTATCGTGAACTGTGCCTTTAACTCCAGCCAGAAGTCCGAGTTAAGCTACAGCTAATCACTCTTTTCCACTCAAACCGATCTCACTCTTCGTCGTTATTTGCTGGTTTTACTCTGAACAGTTATCGCAGACCTGATTATTAATATTACTTTACAGCGGTGACGAATACTCAGACCATCTACAACTCCGAAGATAGGGCTCAGCTGTTTCTCGTATAAACTCACCGTTTTGCAAGGTCGATTATTTATACAGTTGGTTTCGCGTCAAACGAACACCTACATCCCTTTCATGGAAAAACAACTGAGAGCGAAGGTCAAACAGCTTAAAACGGTTAAACAACTCACAGTGAGATTATCTCCTGTAATTGTAATGAAAGCTCCTTTGTTGCCCATTTGATCACAATAATTAGGCGCAGAAAATACCTGCAATACAGCGTAATAATTACTTTTTTATTCCTTGCTAATTTGACAGTCTTTCTGCCTGCAGCTGCAAGCCCTGGGATAATCACGCGCAGGGTAACTAACCTGGTTAATAAGGCTACTGCGCAAGTGACACGATACAAGTTTCTTGACTGACAGCCAGCGCCTCCGTGCAAACCACCGAATTTCAGATAACATCGATCTGACTAGGGTTGAGTCGAGACCAAAGCACTATCCAACCCTAATCATATTTAACACATCCCAAATTTTTCTCATCCTTTGAGCCACGGCCTCCAAAAAGCACCTTTTATTCCGCAGAATCGTGTTGCGGAAGTTTTTCCAACAGCAGGAATTCTTCAACTTCCGTAGAGAACGGAGTTGAGGGATTGCACACACAAACACGAACCAATTCTGTCCCGACGCACTCCTCCCTTACCCCGATCGTCTTACCCTTCCAAAGCTTTTGCTTACCGTTCTCTTCTCTCATCCGAGAAAGGCCAAACCATCTCAGCACACATATAACCCACTTTTCAACTCAATCAAACACCTGAAAAAAGTGATGAATCATCCGACAAATACTACCCAATTGGAATGCGGCTTCCGGGTGCAAAAGAAACTTGCTTTTCCTTTTCTTAGCCACAGGTGCCACAGTTGGTTGTCCCCATAAATTTTGCAACGCCCCTAAGCAAGTTCTTTGCGGAATCTTTTCTAGCTTAGCGGGTCGCTGATTAATGCCTCGCTCCAGTGCACAGTCGGCGGGGCTCTGCCCAGATCAAAATTACATTTCGACCAATAACCAACCCATCGCGGTTGGAGTAAAGGTACTCCGAGGAGAGAACGCTTCGCAGTCAAGTTACCAAGGCAAATACACAATCACAGCATCGCGCCACAAACGCGCTCGCTAAGCAGGGCTGCGCCAAATGGCATACACCCATACTCGTGCAGGGCGACAGGGCTGGTTGCTATTTCTGCTATTTCTAAGCACTCACTGTAGCAATCTGCAGTGGCGTAACAGCAGTATATATAGGTAGCTGTAGCCATTTATCAACCATGCCACCTAGACGACGTCTCCAACCCGTCACAACCGTCGCTTTATGACGTCGGAAAAGGACCTGGGGCAAGAAGACGAGGTGGTTTGCTGGACGTTGCCGTGTATCTGCAGACTGCCACGTAGGTAGATAAAACTGACACCCTGCGGTCGACAAAATTTGTACCTGATTCCCCACGGCCGTACGCCTAAACGCGGCATCTTTGATGGTAGTTTCGCATCAAACTGCAGCCACTATACTCACCTAATGGGGACGCATCCCAATCATACGAATCTAATCATCGTTCTCCTATTCAGTCAACCCTGTACTTCCGCCCCAAACCGGTTAAAATAAGGTTTCTGGTACGATTGACTGTCGTTAGCTGCGAGCGAGTGACGATCCCATTTTTATATACTGCCGACTACCCCGCGCGCGTCGCATGCTCTTTTTCTGATTTTTTTTTTTGGCTCAATGGCGTATAGCAGGACCTGGCACCCTACATCAGCAAAATGGAATCAACTTTAATTACAACTTTTCAGGATAGAGAGCGCGCAACATGGCACGAAAGAAGAAGCCTCATAACTTAATGTTAGCTCAGACATTCTATCTGAGACATGTGAAGCGGATGTGATAACAGGGTCCCAGAACGCGTTCGGCCATGGCGACCAGGAGTCCCCTTGTAAGGAAGAAACTCCGACGTGTGTAGGCAGTTCTGATTATCATCGATCTTAGAATGGTGTCGCCATGCCATTGGCCTTTTGAAACTACCTCAGCATTCAAGGTAACGACTAGGATGGTTATTTTCCGACCAGTCGGGCCGCCCGGCTAACGCCGGGCTTCCCTCCTTCTTATGGGTTCGCCCGGCTACGCCGGGCGCTCCTCCTTCCTGTGAGAAATTTGCTATGCGTAAATAACACTTCGGATTCTCCTTTTTCTTTGAAAGCTCTACACCCTCAGTGTTAGCTCCGAATCAGGAGCGATTTTTTCTGTAAGCCATCTTCGCTGTGTCCGAATAGAGCATCGCATGATATCACAAATGCGATTACTCAGAGAAAAAAGTATTCAGATACTTCATCGCGGCTGAGTCTACTATGTTAGCTACCATCAATGTTCCCAGCCGATTCCTTGCGTCCTCAAGTTTCAACGGTCTGGGTCCGAATTAATAGTGTTTATTCACCCCAGCCCTTTAGAGCGGAGTTTAGTCTTGCAACCTTACATCGGTGTTCCTATCCTGCCTCCTGTACTCTTTCAAGTTTGGTCGCTCTTGGTCCATTTCGACATTTCTCTGCAAGCCCCGCCCCTGAAGGAGTTATGAATTTCTGGCTAAACTGTGGGCGGAGTCCGGTCCTGCCACCCACCATTAGTGTTCCCATCCTGCCGCCTGTACTCCTACAAAATTTGAACGTTCTAGGCCAACAGGGACAGGAGTTATTAATTTCTGCCCAAACCCCGCCCATAGTGGG